TGATTATATAATATAGTTTTTAATTCCTCTAAGTTTTATTTTGAAAGCTAAACATCAAAGGCAGTGGCAATTCATCATGTTGTGAAGAATACAGCTATTAATCTCATGGGTTCATCCCACAAGTAATGATTTTCCAGATGGACCCTGTTGGTAGGAGAGGGAAGAAGAGACGTCACCCAGTTCTTAGATAAGGCCTAGGCTATGCATCTAGTTTTCCCAGTTGATGGATCATAATTCATTAAAATTATTTATTAGACACTGGTTATATCCAGAATCCACTCATTAGGTAATATTAAAAGAATGTAAAAGGAATATAAGTGAATCTAGGTGCTGATTTGTGAATCCTTGAACTTATTGCTTTTACCTCCATTTATTTATTTATTCATTCATTGAATAAATATTCTATTGAGCACTTACTGTGAACCACATGCTGGGCTGGATGCTGGGGCTACATCAGTGGACAAGAGAGGCTCATCTCTGCATCATGAACTGACAACCTAACGGGGGACACAGATGAGGATGCAGCAACTACAGACAGAGTGAGAAATGCTTCAGGCAGGAAAGTCAGGGTGTTACTTATGCACCCACAAGGGGCATTCAGCAGCTGGGACTGAGCAGCCCTTGCCAGGAAGCTGTACTTGCATACTAGGCCAATTGCTTTTACATAGATTCTCGATTTACTTGGAATGGTCTGTTGGGAGTGTGCTGAGGACATGGCCCTATCACCCCTTGGCGCACTGAGGGTAGTAGGGAGTCATTGCTGTACACGTCTAGTTGCCTCTGTTTGAAACATTTTCCTCCTCTCCTCTCTTAGCTACATTCTAGTGCCCACACGTCCCCCTGCATTGGGAGCATGCCAGATATTCCACCCCTGCGCACTGCAATGTCCTGTGAAAATCCCCTAACATCATCCTTATCACCCCCACTGTCCCTCAAATGTCTCTTTCATCAGGCTTTGAGCACTTCTAGGTCAGGGCCTATATCATTCACCTCTGTATTCCCTATGCCAAGCAAATGCCTGCACACAATAGGAGCTTGATAAACATTTGTTGAATGCAAGAATGAATGAATGCTCCTAGTTTTCCATATCTGGTTGATGAGAAGGTAGGAAGCTGAACTTATACAAATGAAACCATTTGCAAACAATTAAGCCTAGGTCAATATTTCAATGTATAAAATCATGTAGCACATCTTCCCAATATTGCACTTGCTTTACCCAGTATGCATATTCCTGAGGGTTGCAGACTGCCCTCACCAGGGATGAAATGTACTGTGTATACTTAGTTTTCTCTAACAAAGAAAGGATTAGAGGATTACTTGGAATCACTAATGGCATTACCCCACCCCATCGCAACCTAATAAAGGGTAAGTCACTTTGGAGTTACTATGTGCCCCCATGAAATTTGAACGTGCCCCCAAAATTCATGTGTTGGAAACAATCCTCAGTGCAACAGTGTTGAGTGGTGGGACCTTTAGGAGGTGATTAGGCCATGAGGCCAAGTGTCAGGGGTTACTCGGACTCCCTCTGCAAGAGCTTGACCAAGGCTATCACCAGGGCTGAGTTGCCAATATGTAGGGCTCACTCTGCTCGCCTGGGTCTCCTCCCATCTTCCTGCAGCAGCTCGAGCATTCTGCACAGCGCTCTCCCCAGCCCGCTCTGTCTCCCTCCTCCCCTTCCTTCCACCAGGACTGACTTGCTTTATAACGGAAGAAGCTTTTTAATGCTTGCCATGAAATCCTGTCATTTGGGCAGGAGAGCACAAGCTCCCTGGCTGAATCATCAAGAAGATAGCTCCCCCATGGAATAAGGCTCCAAATCCTCTGCAGATCTTTTCTTGTTTTGTTCCCTCAAAAGTGTCCCCTAGGCTCTGCAAAGAGGTTGTAGAACCAGAACACCAGCTGGCTGCCTGCCCTGGCTGACTGCTGGGGCAGTGGCTTCCCACCCACTGTGCCCTGTGCACACACTCAAATCCATGACCTCTGATAATTCCCACATGCGCCTGTGCTGCTCCCATGAGACAGACAGACAAACGGAGGCCTTGGTACATTAAGTCACATGGATCAATCACATGGCCAATCACGGCAAAGCAGAGATTAAACTGAAGTGTTTTAATGCTCAGTCTTGTGTCCATCCCATTATTCCATGAACACCCCCCTCTGCCACACCCTACTACCCCCTCACCCGCCCACCCCTGCAAAGTCACTCGATTGCTGGATTAATTATCATGGGCCAGCATTAGTGTTTTGAAACAGCACAGTTTAAGGCTTAAAAAAGTCAAGATAATCTTTAGGTCCCCAAGGACATTTGCCAACAACTGGTAGAAAAATCCTCCCCTACGTTTTCCCTTCTAGCCTGAATGTATCCAGCAGCGCCTTTCACCAATTCCCACTGGCAACCGCCGAAGGATGACGAGCTGGCTGCCCTCTCGGCCGGACGGCTGCTGTGGGCTTCAAAAACAGACACCGCACCGGCGAGCGTGTGTGTGTGTTGCATTTCTCAAATGAGCCTACTCAGAAGCTGGGGACGGCCGTTCTCCAGTCCAGCACATAGGATCTGTGGCCCGGAGCCTACGGGAGGGTGAAGTCCTGTAGAGAGGCCATTGTTTTCCTTGCCTTTGCTGATCACATGAGGTCAGCCCGATGATGGTGGCAGGGCTCCAAGAGCAAGAAAAAGAGCAACTAGGGGTACAGGAATGGGAAGCAGTAAATCATAGGAGATATTTGTGTTCTTGACAACAACAATTATGCCTCTTCTGGGAAACACATGAAGCACTGAATGCTGCAGTGCCTAATGGGTTTTGAGGCCCCAGTAAGTTTATGTGGTTGGGTGTCGGGAGCAAGCATCATTGCAACTGCAAGCCACCTCAATCCATATCCGAGAGCCACACGGAGCATGGCTGGAAAGGCTGCTTGGTCTGGGAACCCTAAAGCAACGGGACCCGGGAGGCCCCGGGGAAGGCCACCCTCAGTGCTCTCCGGGAGGCGTACTTACTTATGGTGTAACCTGTGGTCAACACTGATGTAGGTGCTTTACAGAGATCATGTCAGCGAATCCTCGCCACAGCAGTAATGGCGTATGTGTTAGCATGCTCTTATTTTGAAGATGGAGGAAATGAGATGCAGAGAAGTTAAGATCATGCAGCTATTAAGAGGTAGATCAAAATCCAAGCTCAGTTTTGTCTGATTCCAAAGCAAATGCTCTTATGTGCCCTGCTCTATCGCCGTCAGAGCTCTTGGGCACCAATTACCCCACACATCCCTAGCTAGGAGGCACTGTTCATCCACCCGTACATTCATTTAGCAATATTTAATTAGCATCTCCATTGTGCCTGGCCTTTAGCCAGGCACTGGGGCTTCGCTGATGAAGAGGCAGGGACCTGGACCTCATGGGACTTGGACTCTAAAGGGTGAGTGCCAGGGTCTGGAATGGGAGTTAAGGTCTCACCTGAGGTTGGGCAGGCTGTACCCCGCACAAAGGCTCCTAGCCAAAGGGGCGAGTGGGTGCTGAAACCCACCGCACATTTCTCATAAACTATGTGCCTACAGAGCTGCATCCTCCAGAGGAAGTAATTTTAAAATTTTTCCCCAAAGCATTATATGCACTATCTCTGGAAGTGCCCACCTCCCGTAACTTTTCAAGCCACTGCCACCCTGAAAGACATCCCTGTGCACAACCTGCAGAGCACGGGGAGCATGAATCTGTGGCGGGGCAGATTCTGGATAGTAAGGAGGTCGGCAGCAGGTCCAGGAAAGTGCAGCCGGGTCCATTTGGCCTTTTCAGTGGGTTCCACACCGGCTTTCAGGGAATCCTGGCCAATCAACCATGACTGAAACCAGTCTACCCCACCCCTGCAAAGTGTCTGCATAGGTCAAACTTCCGACGATTCCCAAAGACAGCACCCCCATCTCAGCAGAGAGCTGAGCCCCTGCTGGGGCCGGACCTGCAGGCCTCTGCCCCTGACTCTCAGACCCCAGAGGCACTGAAAGGAAGGCTCGTGGAGACACTTGCTGCAGAGGACAAGGGTAAAGAAAAGGCAACGGATGCCAAGTCCCAGACCCCAATATCTAAAAGGAGAGTGTCCCCAGTCACAGAGACAGAGACTGAGGGTTCTTTGGGAAGAGGGATGAGTTCTTTGTGTGTGCTGACTTTCAAGTTTTAAACACACGATGGCTCATGTTTAGGGAGCCTTCATCTATGGGGCACTGTAGTGCTTACAAAAGCCCTAACACGGTTTCGTTTTCATAGATGAAGACATTGATACTCAGAGACACCCAATAATTTGGCTTAGATCACACGACTAGAAAGTGGCCAAGGTGGGTCCTCTTCATTCAAAAGACAAGCGGTCAACTTGTAGTCTAGCTTGGAAGGCCTCGGCCCTGAGATACAGATAAAGGACGAGCGGTAAAGGGAGTGAGAGCAGGACACAGCGGGGCAGAGGGAGGGAAGGGAAGGGAACATCAAGGCAGCACAAGGCAAACCCATCGGTAACAAGGAAATGTGCTGCGTAGCCAGCTGTGAATGGAGCCGTTGGTCTCAGCATCCCACGCAGAGAATGTTGGAGCAGCAAGGGACGTCTGTGTGCTCCTCTAGCCCCCTCATTTGATAGCCAAGGAAACAGAAGCCCCGAGACTTCCTCAAGTTTCTAGCGGCTTCCTCAAGTTTCCTCAGGCGGGTGTGGAGGCAGAGCCACGGCCAGCCCTGGTCTGCTGGCACTCAGGCCTGATGACTGCCCCCCACCCCCCTTCCCCCCACACTGCCCCTCTGAGGCTCCCACCGAGGAGGAGGCGAGTGGTGCTGTCAACAGCTGTGCTCCCGCCAGTCCCCGAGCACCAGCCTCCCTGGCAGCCATCTTGGGTTGGGACTTGAGGGAAACGCTGCCCTGGTCATGTGAGCACAAGACGAATGGAAAATTCCAGGTCGGTGAACAACTCCCCCTCCAGGTACCCTTCTTTGTCAGCCCTGCCTTCAAAGGCTCCCAGGCCCTTTTGTCCCCCCACCGGTTAATATTTCACTTCAGTGAGACTGTAGGGAACAAAGAACACGAGGCTGGCCTTGAGGGGCCAAAGGTAGGCGGCCCACAGCTCGATGCGGCTCATAAATAAGAACAGCGCTAACGTACTTTGGATAAGAGCACGGCTCAGCCTCCCGCGGAACAGCTGGGGAAGCTATTCATAGGAAAGTGTGCTATTTGCGGCTGCCTGGCATTTGAACTGGGCTCACCTAACTGCGCCTGCCTTCCCCGCAAATGTGAGTCACGCTCCTCATTCATGAGTAAGGAGTGGCCGGGGGCAAAGGAGAATTGCTTCTCCAGGCTAGCTGAGCGGCACGTGCGGCCAGGAGTGGCACTTCCCAAGATATCTCCTCCTCAGCAGGAAAGGCTTAGGGTTGGGGCAGCTCACTTAGTACTACTGTCAGTGTGATTCGCCTCCTCACGGGACAGGCGCCTCCTTGGACCCTTTCTAACTTCCCCCTTTGTCCAGGCTCTTGGTCAAGCAGGGGGGGGACAATCCACAGCCTTTCCTCACTGGTGGCTTTGGCTGCCCTCTCACACCTGAGTACCACCATGGAAGGGCAGCTCCAATGTCACCCACACCCCCAGCACTAGCTGGCCCCCAACTGCTACCTGGTCCCTGGCCATCACATTGTGGCACTCACGTGCTGTGACCTGCCCACCTACGGGACCTCATTCACCACCACCCCTGCCTCCCGGGGAGTCCAGCGTGCTTCTGGCCTGAGCTGAGCTGAGCTGAGCACATGCCAGAAGCAGAGCCCACTGTGGGCCAAAGTAGGCCCAGGGAGTCAGGCCCAGGCCTGGACCCCTTCGTCCAAGGAGCCCGGGGTCAGGGACTCCCACAGAGGGTCAGCTCCATCCCACAGTGGCTCTGGCAGTTCGGATCAGCATCAAGCCCCAGAGAAAAACTCTGGCTCTGCACCCAAGCAAGGTGGCCCCTCGAGTCCATCGGACTTCATGCACTGGGGAAAGGCGGGGCCTTTCTCCCACTGGGGGCTCCTTCTCCCTCACACTGTATTCTTCCTCCAGCTCTCATGAACCTGTGGGCCCGTGACGCTGGGGGCCGCAGTCAAAGGTGTCTCTATGCACCTAGCACAAACTCAGCTGTGGCTGGCATTTTTATCAATGAATGACTTGACTCCCCAGCTGGACCACAAGCTTCTCAAGGAAACTTTGTCTCTGTGTCCCCACTGTGGCAGCACCCAGCCGGCACACACAAGGCCTGCGTGAGCACTTGCCACTCTGCCCTGTCTCTTGGCTACTAGACTCTGCCCCTTGTGGATGGGGACTCCTTAACTCTGCATTTCCAAGGGGACTAGTGCCGGCTCTGACATAGGGTAGGTATGTAATCAATGTTGATTCGAATTGTCCCATTTTGAGTAAAGACTTTCTATATGAGTCAATGTTATGACATAATGGACAAAGATGAGGCAAGAATCCTATCATAATAAAATCAGATGCATTTAAAATTTACACTGGTGGACATATGATGGTAGATGGGGTAACTACATGAACTGATGCAACTTCCACCTTCAAGAAACTAATAACCTGGTAAGAAATTATACTTTCTGCTTCATGGGCAAAGATGACCCATGCTGGAGGACATGGCGTTTAAGCCACCTTCCCAGTGGAAAGGGTGGGCCTCCTGCTAAACCATTCTTTCATTCAATATTTATGGGCACCTACTGTGTGCCAGGCACTGCACTATGTGCTGAGCATTCAAAGAAAAATAAAACAGCTGGGCATAGTGGCACAGGACTGTAGTCCCTGCCACTCGGGAGGCTGAGGCAGGAGGGTTGCTTGAGCCCAGGAGTTCAAAAGCAGCCTAGGCAACATCGTGAGACCTCTTCTCTAGGAAAAAAAAAAAAGGAAGGAAAGAAGGAAGGAAGGAAGGGAGAGAGAGAGAGAGAGAGAGAGAAGAAAGAAAGAAAGAAAGAAAGAAAGAAAGAAAGAAAGAGAGAGCGAGCACAGGTGAACCTTGCATAGAGAGCTGACAGACTAGTGGAGCAAAAGCACTTTTTCAAGAACTCATTATGCTGGGATATGTGCTGCTTGGCCTAAACTCTGTGGGAGAGAGAAGGGAGCAGATGAATTCTTCCAGAGGCCAGGAAGGGAGGACAAAATTAGGAAGGGCCTCCCAGAGCATGGTGTGTTTGAAGTGTGGACAAATCCAAATGAACAGTAGAATATGTATTTCTGGGCCGGACGGTATGAACTAAAGCACCGAGCCCCATCAGTTCTCTGGGAATGGAACAGCCTCCCCTGCTCTCCCTGCGGCTGGGGACCTGCAAACAGACCAAGGTCAGGGCAACACCTTTGGCCACGCAATGGGGCATTTGCTTCTCTCTAAGCAGGCTTATCCCAAGGGCTCTTTCTGTCTGAAAATAGCTGCCTGGGTTCATGTCCCCTATCTGTCCCAGAGGCCAGCGACGGGTGAGCGCGCTTTCTCCACTTGCAGGGCAGAAATTGTAGCTGGAGAGCTGGACCCACAGCACAGCAGACCCCCTGGGGAGCCTGGCAAGAGGCCATGCCTGACCATACCTTGAGATCTGACCCGCTAATTTTGGACAGACCCTGTCTAGTTCTTTCCTCTGCATGTGACTAACAATCTTATCATAATGAAAGCTGTAAAAATGTCAAACTTTAACCTTATTAAAGTCACACTGTTCTGGTCTTGGCAACCCTATTAGGATTTTACAACTCAGCCTCTCCGAGTGGAGTCCTTAGGTCCAGCCCAAGGTCCATTAGGGTCCCTGATGGGTGACTAATGCCTTCCAGGATCTGAGGCCACCCACATTCCCACCTCCCCTGTGTCCATCTACCACCTGGGCTCGCCGTGGACTTCCATATGGCCTCCTGTTTTGTTACTCATAGACATTGAGAAATTTCCACTGTCCTGGACCCCAGGAAGAATATATGAGGGTACCCTGCAGCACTCACCAGCTGACATGGTATTTTCCCCTGGATTAATGGAGCGCAGTGGAATTTTTAGCTGTTGTTGTAATGATTAATATGTCAAATCCATACTGCCGGAGAGGCAAGTCGGAAAGGGAAGTGGGAGCACAGGAAGAGGGAAGAGAAAAGATGGGAAGGAAAAAGGGAGAGGGAAGGAAAGAACGAGGGAAGGCCAAAGCGGAGGTGGGGAGGGGCCCTGCTACGCTCAGGCGGTTGGATCAAGCAGGCCTGACACAGGGAGGGGAGTCCCCTGCCTAGGGCCACATGGTGGGCAGGTGGTCAAGTCACTTCCTGAGGGAAGGTCTCCCTGGGCAGTTACTAGCATAAGGTGCTGCATATTGAGAGTCATGGACCTGGAAAATTCGAGGAAAGATATGTGTTGTTTTTTTTTTTCCCCCCCCAGAAAAATAGATACAAAGAGAAATTTTGCATCCAGTCTTACGGAGTTCACTAAACCCCTAGACCTTTGTAAAAAAACAAAAACAAAACACCCCTGTGTTCAGCACATGGTGTTTCTGCAGCTGGGACTGTGTCACCTCTGTCAGCAACCCCTCTGCAATGTGATACTTTTTGGAAACAAGTTTGGGAAGGTGACAATGTGTCAGCCATAGCATGCGTCTTCTCTGCTGAGCCCCTGCATTGCCCTGAGTGCCCAATCACCTCCTCCCACCCGCAGGCCCACCCAATGCGACTTCCAGAAGGAGATCATGCTTACTGTCCAGGTAAGTCAACTCCAGGCAGTCCCAGTGCTCCTATGGGAAGGGGTGAACATGTTCTGGGGTCTTGAGACCATTACGCAGATGGACAGAGGGATGACTGGCCACGACACCAAGGGGGAAGACATCTGCAATGCAAATGAGTCCTCCAAAGCCAAGCATTCGCCTTTCCTGCTAATTATTTTTATCTGGTTGTATTAGAATGATTTCATAGTCTACAGAATTGGAAGCCAGCTCAATGTCAGTATTATTATCTCTATTGAAATCACCTGTCAGTGCAAGAGGGCTCTGAATTTCCTTTCCTATTTCTTGCTCTAAGTCTGGAAATATGCCATGGGCCCGGGTAATTAAAGCCCTGGACACCATGTACAATCCCCTGGATTATCACACATGTGGCTGCTCTAAAAGCAGAAAGGAAAAAATCAGGTTCCATATGTCCTGTGAAGGTCAAATTATCTCTGTGATGGGAAATTGTAAAAAGGTCAACGAGAAACACTACTTCACATACTCAGCAGGGGAAAGAATTATCCAATTCATAAATTTTATTTCTGATTATAATTTTTAAATATTTTATTTTGAAATAATTATAAATTCACAGAAGGTTGCAAAAACATGTACGAGGACTACAGTAGCTAAAAGGTGGAAACAACTCAAATGTCCTTTAGTGGATGAATGGATAAATAAAATGGAGTGCAGTCGGCCCTCACTATCTTGGGGGTTAGGTTCCAAGCCCCCCGTTGAGTGCCTGAAACCTCCTATACTACTGAACTCGACTGCTGTGGATCAGAATACGTTTCTGTTCATGTCTTCCACCCACCAATTTAATGCCTTTCCTGTCTTAACTAAGCACTTATCAGCCCTGTGGCTGTAACTTTTGCTGTTTGAGGTGCGACAGCAAAACTAGCATGAACTTCTTTTTCCTTCTTCACAATTTCACAGCTAGAAGATTTGTTCTTATGTAGATCACAACAACCTTAGCGTTCGGCTTTTTTTCTTTCCTTAGGAACTTTCACCTTTCATTTACAGGAAGCACCGTACAGCTTCTCTTTGCTGTCTCTGAATTGCTGGTATCACTACTCTTGTGCTTTGAGGCCATTGTTAAGTAAAATAATGGCGACTCTGAACACACGCACTGCAACAGGAGACCTGACGATCGAGATGGCTATTAAGTGACTGACCAGTGGGTAGCATCTATGGTGTGTATCCACTGGACAAAGGGACAATTCACTTCCCAGGGGGGACAGAGTGAGATGGCGTGAGATTTCATCTCACTACTCAGAACAGCGTGCAATTTAAAACTTATGAATTGCTTATTTCTGGAATTCTACATTTAATATTTTCATAGTGTAGTAAGTGAAACTGTGTAAAGTAAAACCATGGATAAGGAGGACTACTGCATAGGCACACCATAGAATATTATTCAGCCTTAAAAAGAAAGGAAATTCTAGCATGCTACTACAACATGGATGAACGCTATAAACATTGTGCTAAGTGAAATAAGCCAGTCACAAAAAGACAAAAACGGTGTGATTCCACTTATACGAGATACCTACAGTAGTCAAATTCAAAGAGATGGAAATTACAATGGTGGTTGTCAGGGGCTGGGTGGAGGTGGATCTGGAGTTGTTTAATGGGTACCGAGTTTCAGTTTGGGAAGATAAACATGTTATGGAGGTGATGGTGGCTGTTATTTCATAATTATGTGAATGTACATAATGCCACCGAAGTGTGCATGTAAAAATAGCTAAAATGGCACATTTTACGTTATATTTTACCACAATAAAAAAGTGTACAAGGAAGCCCTTTGCACACCTCACTCAGCCTCCCCAATGGTAGCACCTCCGCAACTATGATACACCATCAAAACAACCAGGAAATCGACATTGGTACAACGCAGAACTCACTCAGACATCACCAGGTGTACAAGTGCTTGTGTGTGTGTGTGCACATATGCACGTGTGTGGTTCTATGCCATCTTATCACCCGTGTCGCACTGTTCCATCACCACAGCCCCCCCTCCCAACTTCCCCTCTATGGCCACACCTACTCCTTCCCCCATCCCTAATTCCTGACAACCACTAATCTGTTCTTCACGTCTAGACTTTTTTCATTTCACAAATGTTACAAAAATGAAATCATACAGTCTGTAATCTTTTGAGGTTGGCTTTTTTCACTCAACATATAATTGCCTTGAGATCCATCCAAGTTGTTGCATGTGCCGATAGTTTGTTTCTTTTTATTATTGAGTAGTACTCAGCGATATGGATGTGAATTTCTGACTATACTTTTACACATAGAATGAACTAATTATTCCATCTTTTGTCCACGTGAAGACATTGGTAGATGGACTTGACTCGGATGTCACCACTGCCGGAGCAGTCGTCCCGGGAGCTCACCAGGGCAGCCCGGCCCCGCCCCACCCACCACCCTCCCAGGGACCTTTGTCTGGGCCACAGGCTGTGCTCCCTTGGAGAAAGAGGTCCTACAGGGCAAGCCGTCCTGCCTGCTGACTTTCACCCGCGGGGACCCCAGCGGCCAGGCAGCATGATACGACGGGAACACCATCAGGCACCAGAGCTGGCGCGGTCTCAGCCCCTCCCGGCCCACCCTGGGCGCCGACACCGATGCGGGCACATCACGGGAACAGGCAGCTGGGGCTCCTTTAAGAAGGAAAGTAAACTCCAAGAACCATTTTTTAAAAATAGGATGTTGCTTCCAACTCTCAGAAGGGAGCTTTTATATTTCCACCACCCGGTACAGCGCAAGCTCCGCTGTGCTGGGATTCAGCTGTCTCCTTGACAGCTGAGCCTAGGATAGATTAGCGCCCAGCCCCTGCGCCTAGCACAGGGCCTGGTGTCGCAGGTACTCCTAAGTGTTGCTGCAGGTGCCGGTGTTACTGGAGGGAAAAATCAAGGCCAAGAAGCTGCTAAGGGATAGCTAAATCTGGCACACACGATCTCATTTCATTTCATTTAAAAATTCTGCTATCTCAGCTCTTTGACCACAGGTGTGAGCCAGGGCATGAGAGAGAGGAGCAATGAATAAAGCCCACCTTTCTTCCTCCTCCTCCTCCTCCCTTCACACCCCTGGTTTCCTCCCAGGCTCTGAGAGAGAACTCGGTGTTCTGCGAGGGGTGGGGCTTCTTACTGAGGAGCAAGCAACAGGGTAGGGGAATGGGTGGGGTGGGTGGTGGCAGTAAGGTCACCCAAAGGAACCTTTCAGCCACCTAGAAATGAAAAAGCAAGATTAAAGTCACCCCCCAAAACAGGACAGAGGGTCTTGGAGCCTTTCCCTCCATCTCGCAATCACCACCCCACCCCCCTATACACACACGTTAGCTTTTCAACCTCTGACACTTTGCTATGGGCAACCTGAAAAGTTTGCATTTCTAGATAAATAGATGGAAGAAAAGTAGCCAGGACCCTGGTTCCTGTAACTGCCCTGAGCTTTTCCCAACAGCGCGACTCTTCTTCCTCTGAGAAGGGTGACAGGCTCTGGCCGGAGCTAAATCTGGAAAGCAAGCAGTCGTAGACACGGGCTCTTTGCCAAGAACCAGTGCTATTAAACCTAAGGACTTGGTCCCTCCACCCCCAAGGATCCTGAAGGTGGCTGCTCACAGGTGGCCGAGGTGCATCGCTGTCCATGGCAATCACAGCACGGCTTGGTGACCGGCACCAGCTCCTCCTTTGCGTGCCTTCTGGGCGTCCCCCGTGGAGCGGCAGAGCCTGGCCTCTGTGGAAAAGTGAGATCTTCCTCAAGCCCTGGAGATGGGGTAGAGGTTCTTCTTTGACACCCATAAAAGCTCTCACCTCCCCTCAAAACTTTGGAGATTTTCATTCTTGTCTTAATAGCCAGAGTTGCCACGCATTCTGTCCAGGATTTCATCTACTCGGCAAACTCCATATCGCAAACTCAGTATTTCTTCAATAAACTCAGTATTCATTTACCATTATCTGGTGAGCAAAAGTAGTCCAAACTCTTGGACTTTGTTCTTTAAGGTGAAAGATTGTGCCTCTTGGTGAAAATACCCAGATTCTAAGAGTGAGACCCTGGGGCAAATGCAGGCTCCAGCTAATCCAAGTGTTGGCTGCGAGACAGGAGTCAGCAGGATTTCACCTGGGTGGTCAATTTTTATCTAAAATAGAGCTATGCCTGCATTAATTTGTCACCAATGGAATGAAATTCTAGCCTGCTGAGTATGATAGAGTTTGATGTGAGGAGTGGTCAGTTATACAGAAAATTTGAAACAAAAGCCCACGAGAAGGCTGCATTTCCCAGCACCCATTGACTCCTTCCTAACAGGGTGACAGAGAGCTGGCACTGCCACATGGAATGTGCTCAAATCAAAGCCTCAGTTTCAGCCTCTCACAGAAGCTTCTTGGGCCACCCTATCTAGAACAGACCCTGCCTGCTATTCTTAACCAGGCAGAGGGGACAGGACGGCCTGAGCAAAGACCCAGGGGTGGGAGAAGGCATGGCATTTGCAGGGACTGGCAGAGGGCCAGGGTGACGGCCACAGTGAGTGCTGGGGAAAGCGGCGCGGGATAAGGTCGAGAGTCGGCAAGGACCTGTCTGTGCAGAACGGTGGCGAGGAGCCTGCCCTTTCTCCCCATGCCCAGGGCAGGGAAGAAGGATTTGCAGATTTCTTACATGTGCCTTGGCTTAAGCAAAGCTTTCTGCCCTCGTTCCAGCCGCAGCACAGGGTGGCGTTTGCCGTGCCTGACTCCCCTGTGCGAGGCGCTGGGGGTAGAAGCACCGTCTGGAGGGGTCAATGGTGACGCGAGTGGATAAGCCACATCACAATGGGGCTTGAGCTACAGGGAGAGAGGAGTGTGCACGTCCCTGCTTGGACGAGGGGGCAGGTTGTGAGGGCTCCGGGGCACTTTGGGCAGATTCTTCCGGCAACTTTAGTCCCGCTGCTACTGTGTGTCTAGCTGAAGAGCCTCCTGGTTGGCCTCATCACCCCCTGCCTGTCTTCTCCACCAGCCCCCGGAACACGGAGTTCTGTGTGCTGGACTCTGGGAGGCCAAGATGTGCTGGGGCAGGTAGGGGGGAGGGGAGGGAGGGGAGGGAGGTCACAGATGGGAAGTGAGTGAGTGCGGAGAAGAAAGGGACTGTTCTGAGGTTTCCCCTTTGCACAGCAGCCCTTACCTCTGACAAAAAGCAAAGGGAGCAGGTTTTAAAAATGCAATCAAAACAAATCCTGTCTGCCAGGCTTGGTCAGCCCTTATAATCCCCGACTCCCCTTCTCCTGCAGTGGAACCCCTGTAGAAAGTGCCTACTGTGTGCCAGGCGGGCACTGCATGAGGAGTGGGCCTTGCAGTCAGGGCGGCCACAAGCCCACTGGCTGGGGACAGGGTTTCCCAGTTCAGGGGACTTCCGGTACTAAAACCAGGACAGTCCTGGGCCAACCGGGACAGCTGGTCACTTAGTAGGAATGGACCGTCCCGTAGAGTCAACAAAGAAGGTGAGTGGCAGTGCAGTGTGGCCTGTGGGTAGTGGCGGGTGGGAATCAAGAGTTCCCCTCCGTGGGACCAGAAACACTGTTCCTGGCACTTAGCCCCCTTCTCACATGAGCCCCAGCTGTCTGTTTCTGAGATGCCACTCCAGGCCAAGCCTACGCCTGAGGATGGGCAAGGAGTGGCCTTGAGACTGTGCTGTCTCTGCTGTTTGCTAAGGTCGCTCTCGTTATATCACGCCGCCAGAGACCGTCCACCCGGCTCACGCAGGCGAAGGTCAGCTAAGGACAGGCCGATTAGCTGGCCCCTCAGGGCTTTTCTCTTCGTGACACAGCCTCTGGCGCAGAACAAAGGCCCCTCATTTTGCGGAGGCCGTGATTGCTGGACGTGAGCGTGCTGCCATCTGCTGGCCGCGGGCGTGCTCAGCCGAGGAGGCTGGGCTGTGGGCGGAGGGCTGCTGCTCCCAAGGCCACAGCACACCTCCCAGTGGCCTGGGCCAGACCTCCAGGGGAAAGCAGGTGGGGACCCCCAACAGGTATGCTTTGAAGGGAAGGCTCCCCGGGGCCAGAGCTCTCTCAGGCTGGCCTTGGAGTCCCAGCCAGCACACGCACGCTCCGCTGCAGTAGGATCCTGGGGAGCTGCCTGGACAGGAGTCAGTTATCAAATATTCAGGAATTTTACCAGCTGCAGTGGCAGCTTGAAACTTGTCGTGGTGGGAATATTTACACCTTGGAAATTGGCAAATGCTACAGATTAGAGCTTCCTAGTTGCAGAAGCAACCCAAAAGAGTTTCTGTAAATAGGTCACTGGCCAGTTAAGATGTCCAATATATAAGTTCAGAAAAGGCAGGACTCAAATCTGATTCTAACTACAAACCTGAATTGTCCTCAATTGTGTCGTACCTGATTTGAAGAAAGACTATATTAACGAGATGCAGGTTGCATGGAATCTAGAAAAAAGAGGACCAGACAGTAGTGCTGTTCCAGTGGGAAGAAACACAGGGCTTAGAGGACATGAGCTCTCCCCTCATGAGAGAGGAGGGGTTGGTTGTGCAATAAAGAAAATACTGTTTCTACCCAAACACTGTTGCCTCCTCCAAGCCTCCATGCTCGCCCCTCAATCTTTGGAGGAATAATTTGGCTTTGTGATGCTGAAATTCTTGGAAGAAGGAATCCTATAGAGCATACAAATATTTATATTCTTAGAAAGTTATAAATGAGTTGGCATTATTTCCTTAGAGTTTTGTTATGCAGACTAAGATTAGATTAGATTGGATTTGGTTGCATAAAACAGTATCCTGAATAAAATATACATTTATTTCTCTCCCATGTCAATGAAATCCAGATGTTGACATCCTGGAACTGGTATGGCAACTCCACAATCATGAAGAATCACTACCCTATGGCTCCATCATTCTCAGCATGAGTTTATGCCTCATGATCAAGATAGCCACTCAAGCTCCAGTCAAGTCTGCCTTCTAGACAGCAGAAAAACTACATTTTCCCAAAATCTGACACTTCTCATTGCAAACTTTGTTTCCATTCAGCTTGGCCTCAAGTATTTCTGTGTTCTTTACTAGAGTGCAAGCTTCCACAGGGCTGGGGCCATGCTCACTTGCTCACAGCAGCTACCATTAGTGCCTGCAACATCAGCCACGTGCGATGAGTAGAACTGAATTGCAGAGTAGAGCTAGGGCTCCATGGAAAAGGACCAGCTGGGAACTGGATGTGAATTTGAACAGCTCATGGAATGACCTGATGAGCCTATTGAAATCTGGAAAGTCGGGGTGACCCCTGACACCACTCTGGGAGCAAGCATTTGGGCTTCATTTGAATATACAAATGTGGGTCTAGGACTCCCACCAAAGCAGAGCCCCTTCTGGACTTGTATTTAAGGAGATGTATGGGGTGACAGAGGGATGTTGGTAAAGCTTGCCGTCCCCTCTCCATTATGTTTTTAAGGTTAAAGATCTGAGTAGCCATGAAAATAAAACCTTTGGTGGGTGGGGAGGGTGTAAAGGGATTTGGAAGGAAACTTTATAGACAAACTATTCATTTTTCAGATGAAAAACCTCAATCCAGAGAGGAAGGTGGTGTGCCCAAAGTTACACAGGTGGCCGGTGGGACTTGGGCTGTCCCAATCCCAGCCTACTATTTTCCTGCTCCATCACAGTAGCTGCCCAGGGTGAAGACACCATCAATCCCCAAGGTCACAGCTAGTTTGGGGAAATAAGAGGTCGTGAAGGCTATACATAAATTTGTGTGCTGTTGATCTTGGTGCTTACCAGCAAACAATGAGTTTGTGCTTATTTAACTGAAGAGGGGAGACATGCAATTCAATTCCCAAAGTTTAAATTCTTTATGTCTGTCTTCCCATTAGTTATTTAGATTTCCCACTTCTCTGTCTCTCTTTCTTGAGGAGGTAACAAAATGGCTTTCCCAATTTTCTACTGGGACTAAGTCTCACTAGGGTCAACCATTCTTTCTCCAGGTTGTAACTGGCTAGATTTGACTGGGTGGGTAAGGCCTCAACCTTGGACTGCTGAAAGGCCCCTTTGTTTGTGGATTACAAGGGGTCATTCAGTTTATCCCATTCATTATGCCACCCTACTTTTTCGAGTTGCAAGGTTACAGCCTGGGGCAAAATGTTGATGGAAGGGAACATTAAGCACCAAGTTGTACTGCGTGTTCATTCCATTCCACTTTCACCTCCCTGAGCTGGTGAAGGTTATGACTACAGCCGAATTCTCCAGTGACTCACTTCAGGAAAAGGACATGTGACCAGAACCTGGCTCTCATGGGACTGCTTGCCAGGGGTGCCAGGACAGAGATGGCATTGTTCAGGGAAGATTCAGGAAGTCAAACATCCGGAGAAAAGCGTGCATGGTCAACTTACTCTACAGGCTGGAAGAGAATGCATTTTTCCTCCCCAGTGATCAATCTGTATATTCACTGCTACAAGGGCACTCAGAGGACTTCTGGAATATTTACTCCCTCTGGTCTCAAATACAGCATTCCTAATGGGCCAGGAAAGGGAGAGGGGACCAGTATTCCTGTAGGTGCCTTACCTATTGTCACATAAATGTGACATCCTCCCAATACCCCTTTCAGGTAAACACTATCCCCATTCTCAATTTACAGATGAGGCGATTTAGGCACATGGAAGTGAAGGATTTTGCCCAGGCCCACCTGGCTACTAAGTGGCAGACCCAGGATTCAAACCTGGTTCTAGGATGACATTGAAGTGCATTCCCAATGTCAGAAAACATCCTCTTCCCATGCTGGTGCTCAGCCTTCCTCTGAGACAAGTACTGTGTGGTGGCTGCTGCTGATTGCATGTTTCTGCAAGCTTTGTCTCTACCCTGCACATCCTCTAGCCTCCTGCTCTCGGTCTATCTCTCCTCAAGACCCACGCAAATTCCACTTTCCCCATGAAGACTTCCTGATCAGCCAGTCCCAAGGAACTGTGTACTTGCATGTGCTCTCATTCTTCCCCACCCCCGGTAATGCTCTCTGCTTGCACTCCTGGCCTGGCCCTTAATAGAATATAACTCAGCTCATACAAACTTTCACATTCACATGCAAACCCCAGCTGTACTCTAAACCCCTCGAGGGCATGGACGATGCCTCTGTTGAGCACTGAGAATTCTCAGCATAATGAGTAATACCAAGTAGCTGCTGGAAAATGCATACTGAATGATACACTGGTTAATTTTTAAGAAAGGCTATGGGAGTCCTTGTGATTCTGTTAAGTAGAGAAGCGTGGAAAACTCTGAGACAGGCTCTTGGCTCTTTGGCTAAGTCTCTAACCCATGCTCCAAATCTTCCTGGGGGTTGTAGAGAAGACTAACATTGCTCTGCACTGAAACTGGACCCTAAACCCCCTGCCAGTTTTAGGGTGCAATGAAGCATCCTGCCCACTGTGCTCCGGAGGCTCAGCTGAGCGTTTCGGGCTTCCTGGCAGCCTTGTGTGTTCCCTTCGTCTTTTCCCAACCCTGGGTGCTCACTCCCAACTAACCCCAGGTGCCATCTCTCAGCTTCACCCCAGGGCCTCAGTGATGACAGCCCACACCCCTTGGGCACTGACAGCACCTCCAGTCTCCTCTAGCAGCAAATTTTCCTGCACAAATCCCCAGATCTTATCTCCCTCCCTCCTGGGATTCAGCTTATTTTCTCTCCCGTTAACTTCCTGCCCCTTCCTCTCTGTGCGTTCTGTTTATCTGGAGATCTTTGGGAAGGATGACTACAGTGTCAGCACACAGCCCTGGCATGGCATGTCTCCATCCTCCCCTCACCCTGTCCCAAGATTCCCGGGTCACCTGGGGCCTTCTCAGCTCCATCCTCCATGCAGCTTGCTTCCTTCCTTTCCACGCCTGCCTTGTGCCTTTTCTCCCCCCCACCTGGCGTGTGGACAGAGCTGTGCAGCCACACCTGGAGATGGCCTTCCCCATACCAGGTGAGCCCTGTCAGCACTTGGATGCCAGCCTGTGCCCCGTGGGTCTGAGGGTGTGCCTGCCTGTCTTCCTCCTCCCCTAGCTGGGAGGGCCCTGAAGGCACTGTTACTTCTCACCTT